TACTACTACTACTTACTACTACTACTTACTACTACTACTTATTACTTACTACTACTACTTACTACTACTACTTACTACTACTACTTACTACTACTACTTACTACTACTACTTACTACTACTACTTACTACTACTACTTACTACTACTACTTACTACTACTACTTACTACTACTACTTACTACTACTGACTACTACTACTGACTACTACTACTACTACTTACTACTACTACTTACTACTAATACTTACTACTAATACTTACTACTACTACTTACTACTACTACTTACCATTACTACTTACTACTACTACTTACTTTTGACTTACTACCTGCTCTGATTTACTGATTACTTTTTTTTTGCTTTGATGCTACGCTACTGCTACTGCTTAATACGATATACTATACTTCTACTCCGAATACGCCGACGCCGACGGGCCGAGGACGACCACGAAGACGACGACGAGACGACGGAAGGGACGACCGAAGAATGATCTGACGGACCGGAAGGGTGGACGACGACGGACGACGACGACGGACGACGGACGACGACGGACGACGACGGACGACGACGACGGACGACGACGGACGACGACGGACGACGACGGACGACGACGGACGACGACGGACGACGACGGACGGAGAGGACGGAGGACGGACGACGGACGGAGAGGGAGGACGGAGGACGGAGAGGACGGAGGACGGACGACGGAGGGAGGACGGAGGACGGAGGACGGAGGACGGAGGACGGAGGACGGACGACCGGCCGAGACTTCCTACTACTTTGTACTACGACTTACTACACTTTATTACTTACCTACTTATTACTACTTATTACTACTACTTACTACTACTTACTACTACTTACTACTACTTACTACTACTTACTACTACTTACTACTACTTACTACTACTTCTACTACTACTACTACTACTACTACGACGACTACTACGACTACTACGACTACTACGACTACTACGACTACTACGACTACTACGACTACTACGACTACTATGCCTACGACTACGACGACTACGACTACTAGGACTACTACAACTACAACATTACCCTGCACCTACACCTACACCTACACCTAATACCTACAACTACAGCTACAGCTACAACTACAATTACATTACAACTTCAACTAGGCTACGCTACACCACACCACACTAAATCCAGCAGTTGTGGGTGAGGTGACCGCTGCAACCATTTCAAAAACCAGAGCTCCAGCCACCTTTCAATCCATCAGTGGGTTCGCTCTGCCATCCATGCATCACAAAAACTCACCTCTCCTATAATTGCGTATCTTTGAAACTTCCGCCACCGCCTTGTGCGGTACTACTGGCATTTAAAAATGATATATATTTTTTGCTTGGGAATGTGGGGCATGATTTGCACATGTTCAAAGTGGTGAAGAAGGTCAAGAACTCACACAGGAGAATCGCATGCCTCCTTAAGCATCCTCAAGCTCTCTAGGTGCCCAAGCCTGCTGCTGCAACTCCGTTTCATGCTGTTCTATCAGCCGCTGCATTTGACGCTGCCTCAGTCTCAATCGTTTACACAGAGTCTCCATTAGAAAATGGCCGGCCCTTGGAGGTGTCAGTTTCTTCGCCAAAAAATGCAAAGGCTGCTTGGTTTCCACTGCTTTCTAACAAGGTCCAGCGCAACACTGACTTTCTAATGCTTCGTGGAGGAATGCCATTGATGTCAGTCACTTCCAATGACTCAGAGCCACACAAGGCAGCAACCTGAAAGCCGGAGTCCAGCTGAGTCCAACTGAGCTTTGGCTTGAAAGATTCTTTGTACAAAGAAGCCAAATCCTACTTTGTGCAAATTATGCAGCTTCGCGTTCCATCTATATTGTGTAATTTAGCCAATTTTGCATATTCAGAGCTGTGCATCTTTTCTCTGCGTGTGTTTGGTCTGTTTGGTTCACAACTTGTCCCATTCGTTTCACCTTTCCGGTTGGACACTGCTGATGGTTCTAACATCATACATCCTCCACCTTTTTTCTGATGCAACTGCAGCTTAAATGTTGAACTGTCCCTGATCTTCCGTGGCCTCCTGCTGCGCCACATCCAACGCATCAGCCTGTGGCTTCAGACGGTACAAGCTGCACTAAACACAAACGCGCAGGCAGGCATGACTGCGGTAAACGATAACACCAGGCCCAAGAAAGAGTAACCATTTGCAGTTTTGAAGCATGCTTCTAGTTGGACTGAGCACTTGTTAATCTTTCAGACCTTAACAACATGATGTTCATCCTTGCATCTTACCCTTGGACGAATTAGTGCCTTCTGAAATGATATCAAGAAGTTTCCCACACACACACACACACGCACACACACGCACACACCAGACAAGAATTGATCATTATATGATCCGGCAGGAACTGAATCCTGAAACATGCAGATTAGATACGAAACAACGAAATTAACGAAGCATCCTACGAATAATAGAAGTTCACCTGAATGGTTTCCATATCCAGTAAAAGATTGAGCA